GTGGGACAGCCTGAGGGCTTCCCGCACTGTCTCTGTCCTGGGGCTCCCAGCTGTGCCTCACAGGTGCAGAGGGACCGCTGGCCCAGTCAGGAAAGCAGGGCTGAGACCCAGGCGGTTGCTGCCTCCAGAGCCTCCCAGCCTCCTAGCTGGTCAGACACTTTTATAAGCAGTTTTCAAACGCTTGTAAAGCTTCATCTTGGTGTTTAGCAAACATTCTTACTAGGTTTGCCACGCTGTGTGATTAAATTAATTTCAAGTGAGTCCGAAGGTAGTGCAACAGGAAAAAGTGATACTCTGCAAGGCACGTGCACACGGGAAACTTGCGTTTTGAGCCTGCAGACCTCCCTGAGTGTGCTGTGCACATGACTGCCCAGGAGTGGGGCAGACTTCGGGCAGGGGTGTGGACCATGGCGTTGCTGCCTTCTTGGCGTTGCTGCCTCTCTGTGTCTCTCTGTCTCACTCATGGAAGAAATAAGTGAATAAACTTCATTTAAAATCCCTAATTGCAGTGAAAGCGGTGGCTATTCTGACATTGGTCCAGAGTGCACCAGAGGACAGGGTTCCCACAGGGCTCCCAACCTTGGGGAAACACACCCACGGGGGGCTTTGGAACACAGAGAGCTGGAGAGGGCCTCACAGCCCACACGCTGCCTTTCAGCTCCTTCGGCTGTGCTCACTTTGATGCTCAGAGGATCGAGGAAAGCGAGGATCCGAGTGTTCAGCGGCCTCAGCTGTTAGTGGTTTAAAAGTATTTTAGAATCTCAAAGATGGCCCAGATGAACAAACAACCCGAAATGCTCTGTTCCAGATGTGCAGACGTGATTCAACGGCAATGCCGAGCGAGAATCGGGAAGAGACAGAGAAGATTCAGGGCGGGAGAGAGGGTGTCCGATGGGCATAGAACTGAACAGAGATGGGCTCAGAGAGCGAGAATCAGAGCGTCCATTCAGTCCAGTTACCACGGACCATGCCAGGCGTCTCAGACTGCAGGACACGCAGACATTCTGACCACTGGTTTCAATTGGGGCTGGGAGCACCAGCGGCAGCTGCTCCCTTTCCTGATGGAAGAAGGTTCAAGGCAAGCACTTCCTGGCCCTCGGCATCACCAGGCCTGTACCGGCGCTTTGGTGGACACCTCACTTAATCCTGAAGAGAAACCCGAGGTAGCACTAGGATCACCCCATTCTACAGACGTGGAGCAGCTGGGAGAGTCCAGACCCCACCCAGCTCCATACCATTGGCTGGAGGTCCAGGACGCAGCCCTGGGGTTGTGGGTCCTGAGAGTCAGGTCCCCACCCACTGGGATACCCACTGGGATGATCTGACACAGACTGATCTCTGTATGCACCAGTCTGCTCCCCAGGAAAGCTGGTCCCTCCGCCTTCCACTAAAAAGGCAGAGCCCACCACACAGCTCTCATTTCAGACTAGGCAGAAAACACTCCTCTGAGCCGCCCAGCAAGCTGTACCCTCCCCGTTCCTTTCCCATGCAAGGCGACATTCAGCCACTGCCCCTGGGGAGTCCCAACCCAGCCTGTGCATTACTGGGGGGAGGTTGAGGGGGACAGTCAACGTTCCCACCTGGGCTCTGGTACAGCGCGGTACCTTCCCCCTTGCTGCTGAAGGTAGAATTCTCCTCGTAAATACTCCCTAGCCAACAATACGGTAGTGCGAACTCAGAAGTGACACTTCTCCGTGGGAGATCCGTGTCCCACTCTGTCCTAAATGCTGAAGGTCCAGTTTACTGGTCTGCCCATT